ACCGTCTGGCTCTGTAGCTTTTGAAAAATCTCCAGGTATCCTCAGCTTTAGAATGCCCTCCAATATATTTTTGAGATTTTAACTATTTTTAATAGAAAGTAAAATATAATATATATCTTTTTAATACTAATTATGAGTTATATAAAAAGTAATAATATTTTTTTATTTTTAAATTTTTTTTACCTAATTTAAAATTTAAATATAACTTTTAATCATTGAGTTATCTTATTGTAATTTTTTCAAAATATAATATATATTCTACGCATACTAATTATGAGTTATATAAAAAGTAATAATATTTTTTTATTTTTAAATTTTTTTTCACCTAATTTAAAATTTAAATATAACTTTTGATCATTGAGTTATCTTATTGTAATTTTTTCAAAATATAATATATATTCTACGCATACTAAAAATTAGCTTTCTCTACTTATAGTTTAAAAATAATTTACTAATAATATTTATTAATAATAAAATTTCATAACAAGACATGCAGTGTTAGCATTTATCACGTAAGTAAGAAATCTACGCGGTTGAATGTTATCCCGGTAATGTACGGATTTGTTATATAAAAAAAAAAACATATTTATCAACGAATCATCGTGATGATGGACCCATTGTTGTCGGGCAAGTAAACGGATTATTAGCAAACATAGGCCCAGTCAAAAACAAATGGGCCATTTTCTAGAACACGGTTCAGCGTTACTCCTGGATTTGGAACCAAAACTTCTAGATTTTTTTTTTTTTCTTCCACTAGAGTTTATTTTGAACTTTTCTATCCTTTAGCTCGCATGGAATAGACAGCGTCCTTTTTTTTCCATTTTTTGTTTTTGTCTTTTTCTTCAGTTCCATTCTGATCTAAAAAAGCGGCGACGGGGAATTCTCACCTTAAAATTTATATTTAAATACGTATTTTTTTTAAATATAAGCAACTATTATTAGACCGGATGAAGATAGAGGAAGCACGATTATAAATTACCAAAAAAAAAAAATCTAAATAGGTTTTTCAGCATCCATAATTTCTTTATTAAGATAATCTATAAATATAAATAAAAAATACTTTAAAAATAATAAAAATATAAGAATACAACTATAATAAACTATGTACATAGATAAAAAATAATGATAAACGAAAAAAAAAGATGAAATTAACTTTATTTTAAATTTACCCTTTTTTTAC